ACGTGGTTCGGGGACCTAGATAAGTTCTATGAAAGAGTGGGGCCTGCGGTTTTATTTGACGAAGCGGAGGCTACGGGCATGCATCTAGGGCTTACGCGTGCAGCCATTGTCTTATACACTGGCGCTAGAGCTTTGCATTTCCAGGGCGCTGTGTCCAACCTGATCGAGGCGATGGGCACGATCCTAGCAGGATGCAGTCTGGCCACCACTTTTGCCAAGGTCGTGTTGTGCAGGCTGCTGGTGGCGGTCACTGCTGCCTTCCCTTCCCTGACGATTCGCAATGTGATTGATGATGTTTCGATTCAGGCCCTAGGGGCCGCCGGTTTTGTTTGTGAGCAGCCCGGGAAGGCTGCCATCATGATGAAGGGCGGTTTTGAGGAGCTGAAGTTGATTTTGTCGGGCAAGAAAACCAAGTACATAGCATCCTCAAAGCAGCTGGCCTGTGCTCTGGCGCTCAAGTGGGCCAAGTTCGGTTTCAAGCAGCAGCAGTATGTCAGGTCGCTCGGATGTGATGCAGTTGCTCAGCGGATTCGGCGCAATCCCACGGCCAGGAAAAGACTGGCCAAGGCAGGGGGGAGAACAGCTAGGATTTTGAGACTTAAGTACGCTGGGGCTCTGGTTGGGAATATTCAGAGGTCGGGGCCTCAGGCATGTGGGCTCTGGGGATCGGCTGTGGCGGGGCTGACTCCCAGACAACTGCATAATATGAGGTTGTCGGCTTCCAGGAGCCTTTGCAAAGATAAAGCTGGAGCTCTTATGTCGTTCAGACTTCGGTCGTTTCCTGCTGGGGCCTCTATGGATCCTTACGTTATTTTCCATGGCAATGTTATATATCAATGGTGTCGTGCTGTATGGGATGGGGCTCCTGGGCTCCACATCATCCAGAAGGTGTTTGAGAAGGCTTCAGATGACCTTTGGAGATCCAGAAGGCCTTGGCATGTCTGTACGTCGCCTGCGCACGTGTACCTACTGACTACGGCTGAGCTGGGTTGGAGACCGCTCACGGCCAGGAAGGTGCGGCTCTGTGACGGAGAAATGATCGACATGCTGGAGCTTGCGCCCCTGGCAGTCAGAATGCTGGCTGAACGTGATGCAGGACACTGGGCTGACAAAAGGGCCCTCGTGAAACGTCCCAAGTGCAGCGCTGTTTGGTGTAGGCCTGTCTATTGGGAAGGGGCCAGGAGTCTGATGTCGGGCAAAACCTCGATGACCTGGGCCAAGCACCACCAAGCGTGTGCCAGGAACACCTTCTCCCTGGGGACCTGGACACAGGCTCGCCTTAAGGACCATGGGCTTTCTGATGAGGACCTCTGCCAGCTCTGCCGTGCCGAACGAGGAACGCTATATCACAGGCGTTTCAGGTGCGAGGCTTTCCTGGAGGACAGAGGAGTTCACCTCTCGGAGCAATGCTTGATGGCTGCCCGCCATGCGCGTGACATGAATCAGGACCTGGAAAAGTTCGCTGCGGGAGTGCTACCCTACCCCAAAGAACTGATTCCCCAGGCCCTAGGTAGAGATGAATGTTCTACCTGTTGGTTTAACAAGCCCGTTTCTGGTAAACTCCAGGGCTTGATTTTCTCGGATGGGTCCGCGGTCCACCCCACCTGCGAGTTTAGGAGGCGAGCGGGGTGGAGCCTCGCGCAAGTGAACCCCCAAGGGGAAATTTAGTGTGCCGCCTTCGGTCCTGTGCCTAGGGAAGTAGCGCCCAGCCAGCAGGCCAGAGATGGCGAGGACTATGCCTATAGGATGGCGGCCGAGCTTGTTGACCCGTTTTCTGATTTCGAGATTTGTACCGACTGTTCTGGGACTCTTGGGTGTGTTTGGGATAGGGCCAAAAGCTGCTCTTCCCAGAAGTCCAGGGCCCATCTCTGGAGCTTTGTCTGGCATGTTTTTGAGGATGGCCTGAAGGCCAGAAAGGTTAAAGGACACGCCACGTCGGCTGACGTTCTCAATGGTGTTTGCAGTAACCTGGAGAGGCTCGGCAATAGGCACGCGGACAGGTTTGCCAGGCAAGGGGCTGGAATGCATCCCTTGCCAGAGATTTTTGTGCAGGCCATCGACACCTGCCGCTCGGTCCAGGAAGAGATCGTGCGATGGGGGGCGATTCAAGATGTCATCATGGCCGATAGAGGTTGGGCTGACGCGTCGGGTTTCCCGGGGTCCGCTGGGGCGGAGAAATCGGAGCACGATTTCACCAGCAGTGGTAATAAGGGACGAATTCGAGGCCACGTCAGGGCCATGCGCCAGCTTTCGGCACCCTGGTGGCCAAGAGTTGACTTTCGTGTGCCAATCATCTCGGACACTTTGGCCGAGCAGTCTGGCAGCGCTGAGCAGTTGTCTGAGCTTGCGTTGCTGTCCCGCCTCCAGGGACACAACCTTTGCAAAGCAAAGGTCTTCGTGGGGGATGGGAGTCGGGCTGCTGGTAGTGGGTGGGTGATGCCATGCATCTGCTGCGGAGGCTATGCGTGGGCTGGTGTGGCCTCGCTAGCCAATAGATGCCCAGGCCACCCCCCCACCAAGGACCTCAGACGACAGAGGACGAGGTTCGCCAAAGGGGACTTCCCCAGCTGGGCTCGGCAGTACAAGGGTTGGTCGGTCACAGGCCACCGATCGCCCACCCCGTTGGATTTGGTGTCCCTGGTCCGTGCGTCGCGCAAAGGGGTCCAACTTTCAGGGGGGGCTGAGCCTGAGGCTTGTGTTTTAATTGATGGTCTGTGGGAGGAGAAGTGGACACCTGGTCAGCTCCTCACCCGTTTTGGCCTGGTTTTGCCAGCTGGGGCTGATCAAGGTATTGGGTCCTAAGCTGTGTATGTTGTTAGGGGCAGGTGGCACTGACACCTGTCTCCATAGAGAACAGAACAGAACGGGGTGGGAGTGGTGTGGAATGGAGTGGAGCCCCAAGGCGATGTCTTACCTACCTGCTGCCTCCCGCCTCCCCAGGACCTGTTGAGGAAGTCGAGGAGGCAGCATCTTGCTGCAAAGTGCACGCCTTCTCCCTTATTTCAGAGAGCGCCTGATTGGGATTCTCGGACACATGACGGACTCATGAAATTCAGCGTGCTTCCGTCCAAGACCTTGGAAGCACATATATCTGAATCATACCATTGGAACTGCACAACACTTTGCGCTCTGTTTACAATCCTACATTGTGGGCGGTCGGGCAGCAACTGCGAATCGGTCGATCGGCCTCCCCGTGGGAACTGTGGACGCGGCGCACCTGTGGGGTCTTGGTGATCAGTGCCCCTTGGCGGCGCTTGCCGCATCACATCGATATCCCGCGAAAGCTTCGCACGTGCATCACTTGACTCTCAGCTCTCGGTGCCAGACCAAGCCGCTGGCGCCGCCAGACAAGTCGCTGTGCCCGATCTCTTGCACTCCTGCGAGCCCCCTGGTCGACGATCATGTCGTACAGCTCGGCGTTCAACTGCTTCAGCGGCGCGAAATCGGCACGCGTGGAAGACAACACATTACGCTCCGAGCCCTGCGCCTGCTTCTGCCGCTCCGCTTCACGCAGCAACGTGACCTCGGTGCAACAAGGAACGGTGTGGCAACGCACGTGCAAAATTGCGCACGTAGTCCTGGACCGGCCCAAAGGCTGCCTCCAGATATTCAGAGCGTCACGCCCCGCCGGGTGGGCGACACAGCTCAGCCGCATCGGAGTCCAGCAGGTTCTGCACGTGGGTGGTGAAGGCTTGCTCGTGCTCCAAGCTGTCCTCGAGGCTGACACCAGCAGCTTGTGACGTGCTTTGTCAGCCGCCGTCTTGGTGCCGCGTCAGTGCGTCGACACCTCGGGGTGAACGTCGAGGAGCCGTTTAACAGAGCGAATCGCATCCCTCCTCCTGTGAGAATGCGGCCCTAGGCCCGCACCCAGCTGCGCATGTACCAGCAATGCCGCCCCAAGTGACCGTAGCCGCTTGGCGAGCTCGTCCCGCAGTTCGGGAGGTGGACTAAGTACATCGATGGCCAGCTTCGCACAGTGATCGGCTGTGCAGGACTGCTGCAGCAGCTCGGAACGGGCAGCGGCAGCATCATGATCAGCAGCGGCCCGGGCCCGCCGCTGCGCGGCTGAGCGCTGCGCCCGCGAACGCCGCTGACAAACTTCGGGATCACCTGAAGGCGAATCCTCTCGCGCCATCCCAGGCCTCGCCAGCAGTTTTCCTCCGGAGGCTCCAGAACCGGATGCGCAGGCCAGCAGGCCAGATGCTGCTGAACAATGCCGCGCTGGCTCGAAAAGATGGGGTGGGTGTCCGCTGGAGTGTGGCTGGAGCCCAAATGGTAACGGACGAGGAGGGAGGAGGGAGGAAGAGGAGGGAGAAAGAAGAGGAGGGAGGAGGAAGAGGAGGGATGAGGAAGAGGGAGGAGGAAGAGGAGGAAGAGGAGGGAGGAGGAAGAGGAGGGAGGAGGGGAGGGGTCGGACTCAGCCTGACTCGACGCCGATTGTGCTGTTAGAAAGGCTCTCGCCACCTGCACGCGCCCCACGCCTCGGTCATGGGGCCACGGAACACTCCTCCCCCGGGGTCCCCTGGGGAGGGGCGGAGGGAGGGAGGGAGGGAGGGGGGAGGGAGGGAGGGAGGAGGAGGAGGAGGAGGAGGAGGAGGAGGAGGATGACGATGATGATGATGATGATGATGATGATGATGATGATGATGATGATGATGATGATGATGATGATGATGATGATGATGATGATGATGATGATGATGATGATGATGATGATGATGATGATGATGATGATGATGATGATGATGATGATGATGATGATGATGATGATGATGATGATGATGAGGAGGAGGAGGAGGAGGAGGAGGAGGAGGAGGAGGAGCAGGGCGAGGCTGTGGAGGGGGAGGGAGGAGGAGGAGGAGGAGGAGGAGGAGGAGGAGGAGGAGGAGGAAAAGGGAGGGGTGAGGTGGGGAGGGAAGGATGGAGGGGTGAGGATGAGTCGGAGGCGTCTCTCGCAGCTTCGTTCGTTTCTGCCCCAGCACTTTCCCTTTCATCGGCAG